TACATCAGGAGGTAAGTCTTTATTTAATGTATTTCATGAATTTGAAATCTATAATATGAATAGTACTAATAGTAATAAAAATTGTAATGTGAAATGATGTTTTTTTATAGAGCAATTAAAGAAGAAAAAAAGGAAAAAAGATAAAGATCAGGAGACGGAGGAGGCTGAGGTCACAAATGAAGAGACAGGTGAGAAAGTTACAAGCAAGAAAAAGAAGAAGAAAAAGAAACCTCAAGATGAATGAAATTTTTTGAACGCTTAACCTTTTTACCAAAAATAATCTTTTTCAAATATAATTGTTTATATGTAAATAAAAATAAATATCCAGTTATCCTAATTAATGTCCAGTAGCAGATTCTTTATTCTGTCGATGATTGCAATACACCGAGCAAGTTTTTCGATTACGATTAAATTAATTTAATTATTATATTCAGTAATTCACGTAATTTGTCTTAAATACATTGCTCGAGTCTATTATTATAAATTATTAGTTAAAAATTTTAAACAGTAACACTTGGAAACAGCACAGAAGAGAATTAATTGTTCAATTTTTTAAAATAAAGAATATCAGATAATGTTTAAATAATTGGAATATTCAGGAATATTATTTAAAGATTCAGTTATAAGATATAAGTTCAGATATCGGTTTGATCTTATCGATGTGTACTCGACCAAGAGTTTAACTTGTAAACTCAAAATCAATGTCAATAATGCTGAACGGTCCTTGTTTATATTTTCAAAAACCGACTTCAGAGTATAAGAAACGAGGGATTTAACAATTTTTAGATATTTATCATAAATTCATACATTCCTTGATTTATTATATATATATTCTTAAATTAATATATTAATAAATTACAATAAATATTGTAACTTATATATTCCTTACTGGCCAAACATACACTGCCAGTGCATCAACCAAAGATTTTTCCGAATCTTGGAAATACGAAGTGCACCACAACATGTACATACTTCCATTATCTCTATGTATCATTTTACACAGAATTACAATCGCGTATGCAGTTCTACAACAGAATTACAAAATTACTCGGAAACTATTCTTACAAATGATTACTAAAGATATTATTGAACTGACTTTATCGACTCCGATCAATATTGAGACTCGTATTGTGCGATATCTTTTCAGAGAACGGTCGTAAATACTTTAAATGTGGTTTGCAACGATCCGCGGTATTTGAAATGCGGAAATGCTTATCGAAGTTGTGCCGGAATCGAGCTGCAAATTCCGAATACAGTCACGAGGCGGTAAATAGGACGTCCCTGTCCAAGAAGGAGCAGAATCTATTCTGTAAGTTTGCAAGTGGCAAAGACGAATTCTGGACACGTCCCGGGACGTCTCTCCCCGAGGAAGGAATTCGAGGTTGCACGACGGTCAGATGTTACTCTGCATCGGATGCTGCAGCGGAAAAGTCACATACGCGACCGCAATCTTTCGATGTCGGCTGCCTAGTTCTCGATTATTTCAGTTTTGGCGAATGTTACATGTATCACACGCTCTACTTGCAAAGAAACGTAATTAATTCAATCGTAGTTCTATAGTTCTCTATAGTATCAATAGTTCTCGATGTTATGAAGGTTGAATCTGTGAATTTTTCGAAAGTGAGTCGAAGTTACGAATTTCTTTCTATTTCTGGCTATTGAAACGCGTTACTATTTGCAAGGAGAGGAAGAAATGAAACGGAAGAAAGTTTAAGACGCGAAAACTAATTTGTGCATATATAATTTGTTCAAATATAATATACAGGGTGTTTCGTAACTTGTGGGAGCTGATTGTACGCCTAAAAATAATGTAAAAATGTCATATGTCCTATCTGTCTTTGTTTATGAGATATAATGAATTTTATAAACAGAGTAAACTCTCTGTCCAGCCTATCTTTCCATAGATCGCAATAATTTGTAAGCAAGAATTCGCACTGTTTACAAATAATATTTACTTGATATCTTTCGTTTTTTGTACTTGGTTCTTGCAAATGTGTGAACATGAAGAGAGTTTTGTATCTACCATACTTTTCACTAATAAAAAACATATTAATTTTTATTTTCTATTATTATTTTATTCTATTTTAATATTTTCTTATTGCTCTTGCCGATTTCGCTATTCCTCTTTTTCCTGGATGAATTCTGCTTATTTCTGTTGATTAAAAATTAATAAGACAGAATGTCGGTTACCTCATCTTATAATTTCATTTTTATCAAACAACTCCATTTTGTTTACTCGATTGTATACGTGTTACGTATGGAATTAATTCATTCTGCGTTACGAGCATTGTTAGAGCAAAAATTGTATCAAACAATTCCCGAGCGCTGAGTCATAATTTAGACAAACAGGTCTTGTTACCTTATTTTGACAAATCGAATATAAAAATGACACGTGCTTTTGTACGACTAGATCAAGGACAACACATATTATTGTTTAGATGGTCGTCAAGTCAAACTCGATCGTGCGACGAGTCCGAACAAGCATAATTAAAATGATGGAGGAAATTTAACGAGATGGATTTTCATGTATCGCTTCATATTATATTTTCTACGTACATATGATGCGACATATTAATGCGATCTCTCCTTCACATACCAACGAAATATTGTACAATTACGGTGCCTTATTGTATAATAAAATGAAAAAAAAAAATTAGTTATAGTATAAATTTAGATTATCTAGACTTAATAATCATGTAGCAATAAGTGCAGATAATTAACCTTTAACTTAAGACTGTGCGTGCTTCAGGGATGAAGCCTTTAATCTATAAAAGAATAATTCTTAGTCTGTAAATCTTTCGTGCGTTATGTTTGTTGTTGACCGCTGTATACTGGCATTAACTTAAACGTTCTGTTAAAAAAAAAAGAGAAAAAATTCTCTCCTTCACTACTCTCTCTCTCTCTCTCTCTCTCTCTCTCTTTGTATGTACGATATGACCTGCGATATACGCATTACACGGCTACATATAGAATTTTGAAAGACATGTACAAGAGAGTTCGAAATAAAACCAAAAAAAAAATCTGATATCCCGAACCAAGAAAAATAACAGGCGTCGAATCAAAAGTAATCCCTGTCAAATTAATGCGAGAATCCCAGCGTTTTTAACAACCATCGTTACGTATAACGGATAAACTTAAGTATTATCCGCGATTTTT